TTTTTGTTTTTTTTTTTTTTTATTAAAGTTTATTGTTTTTTTTTTTTTTTTTTTTTTTTTTTTTTTTCAGCACTGGTAATTGAACCTTAGGCCTCGCACATGCCTAGCAAGTGCTTTTACTACCAAGCTGCCTCCCCAGGAGGGGTGAATGTTTTAAACATCCAGCCTGCACACAGGCTCTGTGGTTGCCAGGTCCCTCTGAGACACACCTTGAGACACGCCTTTCTCCCAACAGCAAGAATCACCATTCCTTTCTCAGAACTGGTCTGTACGACTCTGAGGACCCCCACATGTCTCCTTAACCCAGGGCTGGATCCTCTCTGTTCTCCTAGAATAACTGTTGTGATGACATCGTTCACCCTACTTTCTTTTCATGGGGGGTGGGTGGCACAGGCTTGCTACATCTTTCCAAGACAGAAGTCTTTTTTATTCCCCCTCTGCCTCTTGAAGTCTGTAGCTGTTATGCTGTAAAGTGACAGGCATTCTCCTTAACCTGACTAAAAGAACTAGAAAGGCTGAGGATTGGGACTCTTAGAGCACCAGCAACAGTGTTGCCCTGTGGACAATTCAGTTTGCAGGAGTGGGCAAGGGACTTGTATGCACTTGTACCCATGGATCCAGTGGTTCCTTTAATACGATCAAAGATAGGCACAAAGATTTCTATTCATCACGATGTTGGTCCCAGTAATGAAAAGCTGAGAGTAGCAGCCACGTCCAGCAAGGCTTGGCCAGATAAAGTCTATTATTGATTCTTACATAATCATTCCAGATCATGTTTGATAGTTATGTGTAGTGGCCTTTGTTTACAGCCCCAGTCAGCTACTTGGGAAGCTGAGGCAGGAGGATACCTTAGCCCACAAATTCTGGGCCAGCCTGAGCAAACATAGTGAGACCCTATCTTTAAAAAAATCATATTGGAGCTGGGTGTGGTGGTGCACGCCTGTAATCCCAGCACTTGGGAGGCTGAGGCAGGAGGATCGCTATGAGTTTGAGACCAGCCTAGGCTACATAGTGAGTTCCAGGACAGTTTTAACCACATAGTGAAACCCTGTCTCAAAAAACAAAACAAAAAACAAAAAATTATATTTGAGTTTATTATGTGGGAAAATATCTATACTACTGTTAATTTAAAAGCAAAATATAAAGTTATATGGGTGTTTTGATCTCAAATCTTCTAAAAAAATTATATTCACAGAGAAAGATACAGCCAAAACAACATCAGGGTTAAACAGTGGTTATCTCCAGGAGGCAGAATATTATATAATTTAAATATTTAAATTTAAAATTATTTTTATATTTTGTATAATGTCTTGGTGTTCTGTAATCAGGAAGATGAAGAAAATATAAAGAAAACACATTGCAAGCTGAATAACCTTACCTAATTTTGAAAAAAAGAGTACAGTTAAGTTTTTTTTGTTGTTGTTTCTATCTCAATACACGAGGAAATTCAGGGCAAAGAGTAATTTTCCTGCAGTGCCTGTTTTGCAGTTGCTGTGGCTGCATTGGGCAAGCCGGTAGGAGCTCTGCTTGTTCCCAAAGCACAGGTGTCTACTACAGATCTTCAGAAGACAGCGTGGGTCCCTGTGGATGGAGCTTCTCTAGAAGAGAAATCAGATATTTCTACACTTGCTAAATTCTGCCTCTCTCACTCGCCTTCAGATCAGTGTCCTCTGCAGCCCAGAATGAGGCTGTCAATGCAGCAAGTTAAGCAAACAACACTGCAAGTCAAGTTCAAACTGCAGTGGCCCCTGTGGGCCCGTGGATGGGCCGCAGCTAGAGAGGAGAGTTGGCTTCTGAGATGCACTGGACCACATGAAAGGGTCAGCATCTATAGACTCAGTGTTCTCCAGGCAGGCTCTTGGAGTCGGCGTGCCCTGTGCACAACTATGGATGTCACCTTCCAGGGCCAGAGACTTCTCTTTCCCTGGATACTCAGAGACAGTGAGTGTGAGAGAGAGAGAGAGAGAGAGATGGAAAGGTCAGGAGACCCAGCATGTGTTCTGGTCCAATGCATTGTAAGCGCTCATAGCGCCTCCTAGTAACCTAAAATATAGATTGTCCAACTTTCTGGTGAAAGAGTCCATAGGAAGAAACGTCTATCTCAAAACATCACTGAAAGAACACAGAAGGAGCCAGAAGTGGGTAGGATATGTGGAAGGGACACAGCACTTTGCCCCAGCCCTGGGGAGCCCCTGGATGCAGCCGTCCCTGACATTTGCCCTGTGCAGCCGAGGTTGTGGAGGCAGTGACCTCTGGGGATCCTGTACCCACTGCTGCTGATTCTCCATCTGTGGACACCATGTGCCATCAGAGGTGCCAAAGGCTGTGTCATACAGGTCACACTTGTGCGTGTAAAGGAGCTGCAGGTCATCTCTCCTGGACTTCCCTGCCACCAACCTGTGCTCTTAGCACCTACAAGCCAAAACGGCCTGTGAGAGGAAGGAGGTGGCACCCTGGAAATCCAACATTTGCCTTTTCCAATAATTCACTGTGAGATCATGGCCAGGCTGTGGCCCTAACTGGCTTTTGCCCTTAGCTACAAACTTTGTGTTTAGATGCAATTATCCCTGCCCACAGAAAAGTCTGTGATTTGGGGGCAAAGAAAAGTAAAGACAAGGTAGTTTGAGTTTCCTTGCTGAGAAAAGCTGATGACAAAAAGGACAGAAGCAATCACTACCATTTATTATTCATTGGCTCGCTTGGCCGTCCCAAGCTTGGTGGAAGTGGGCTCCTAAATCCTCTTTTCCTTAGGAAGTGGCTTTTGTCCCTGTTTTCCTGATAAGGAAACAAGCCTAGGAGGTGCTGAGTAACCCATCATGCAGTGACTGTGTTAGGGCTCGCTGTGGCCCCTCTAGTCCACTGTGTCCCTCTGCTTGGGGAAAGCCCAGAGGCTTTTCAAATGCACCTGCCTCCGTTTAGGCACCAACATCCTCACTGTTTGGGTTTTTCCTGTTTAGTAAGATGAATGGGAGAATGTAGGAGTCCCAGGAGGTAAGCTGAATGTACTTATGGAAGAAGTATTTGTTTCCTTTCTTTCATTTCTCAAGAAAAAATAATTATTTCCTCTCTCCTGGGGAGTCGGAAAATAGATTAAACTTCAATCCAAAGTCTCAGCAGTTGGAAGGAAGGTCAGGTCATCACGAAGCGTCCTGTGGACACGGAGGGGAAGCACACCCCTCCACTGGTTGTTTGAGCCCCCCATAGCTAACAAGCCAGTGCCACAAGATCCCGTGCCCCACTCTGCTCCCAGTATCTTTCAATATCCGCGTGGTGATTGTTCACCTCATGAAATCCTTCACTTACACCTAGGATTCCCTCCGCCTGGACGACACCACCCTCTCGGCCTGTAAAACCCCTCCTCTCTCAAGGCTCAGGCCAGATGTCACTGCTTCTGTGCTAGCACGGAATGCAAACCACGCTGATGGGGCGTGATCAAAATCTACGGTGAACGGTTACAGTTAAAACATATTACAGAAAAAGACACACTGCCACAAATCCCGCCTCGGCGTGCTCGCCCTGGCTTGTCTCACCATCCTCGCTACTCTCTGAAGCCCTTCCGGAAGTCCTCTTTCCTGAGTCTATCTATGGGGTGCGAACAAAAATATGGTGACTGCTGCTGCCGGGTGCCATCCGACGGAGAGGCAGGCTGGTAACAACATCGCAGTGCGTCCTTCGCAGGATCTGGCTCTTCCCCAAAGTCAAAATGACCATCATAGGTAGGGCTAAATATTTTGAATCAATTTAGGACATCAAGGCAGCCACACAGCGGCACAACTAAAGACACTCACAAGAGGAAACTGCTGGGACTGCTTCACGAGTAGCAAGGATGATGGGATACTATGTTTAAGTGAGGGAGCGTATTTTGAAGAGGACTATGGCAATATGCCATGACTGTAATCATTTTTAAAAAGTCAACATTCATACTTCTCAATCACACCTCACATTTATTCACTTTTCATTTAAATGTTAATACCATTGAGGGCAGAGGCATGATCTCATTGCCTCTGGAACAGCGCTGGACCTGAGCCTACACATCGCATGTAATATGTGCATACGGGCTTCATGATAAACTAACCTCACACGCATGAACCAAGAACTAAAAAGTTCCCATGCTCTTTGGCCCAGTTATCCCCCAGGGGAAGGAACTTCTCCAGATGGAGATAACTGAACAAGGAGGAAAATTACACAGATGAAAGTGATGTAAAGTGTGTATTTGCTAATATTGGCAACAGGTTAATTGTTTATCAGCAGAGTGATAGTGAGGAAATTATGGTACACGATCTGGAAGGAACATGATTCGATCTCATTCATCGACCCTACCACCTGCTGAGAGGGCCAGGTGTGCAGCAGCAAGAAGATGCCATGTCCTCCCCGGTGAGTGTACACCTGGCGGAGTCTTCTAAAGACCGTTACCCAAGAGAGCTATTGGGAACCTAATGCTGGAAAAAGCAGGTTATAAAATTGTACATCATTAAGGTTGGAACTCTGAACACATGCTGGTTAAATGCAGGAGTTAAACTGTCTGTGTGATTAGACCATAGTTGGCACTTTCTGTAGCACGGTTACATCTGTTTCCTGAGCTCTGAAGTCATAGACCACCCCCAGTGCTGCCTGAGAAAAGAAGGCTGCTCTCCTTGCCTGGCTCTCCACGGTGGCTGTGGCAGGTGTAACGGAGACCTTGTCCAGATGGGTGACTGGGAGGGAACACCCAGGACAGAGTGAGAGGCTGGAGTGAGGAAAGCTGATCGATCTTTTGACCTACTGCTCCTCGAGTACCGCGGCAGGAGCCAGTGACCTCCGTATCTGGGCTGTGTCCTGCCAGCTCCTCCTGTACCATCACACTCGGGCCAGAGTGCAACACCATCAGGTATGAAAAAGCTGAAGTCAGGAAGCCAGACTCGAGGGTTAGGACCTGTAAGAGTGGCTGTTTTTTTCTGATGGAAAGGCTGTTCCCTATTGAAAAGTACCATTATTCCCTGTCCACAGATGAGGAAACAGAAGCTCTGTTGGCCTCAACCTACCCAGTAGGCAAATATCAGACCTGGAAGTGGGAGCCATCCTTTTACTTTGGGCAGAGTTCTTTCTGTTTCTCCCCTGGGCCTGAGAAAAGGTGGGAGGAAGTGTATGTGGTCTTGTGGAAGAGACCAGGCTAAATAGGAAGGTGGGATCCTTGGGGAGGACTCTCCTCCAAAGGAATTCCTTTGGAGTCTGTGGGTCAGATGGCGTGGCAGAGAGCCTCAGAGGAAAAGCATCTGAGTAGGGACTTGGTGCAGCAAGCAGCGGGAGCCCTTGCAGGTTGGGAAAGAAAGGGGTTTAAAGAACTGCAAGTTGGCAGTGGGTACTGGCTCAAATGGTCAGGGGAGGCACCGGCTCAGGTACATGGCAAGAGCAGTGTGTGGCTGTTATTCTTTCCTTTCAGGACAGCTCTCACCCCTATCACTACTTGGAGTTACGTCTTCCTCAACTTCTAATCATGAGGTTGGTGTAGAAGCTTCTGTTTGCTATGCCCTTCTTTGAGGGTACCACCTCCTGGTCCAAAAGTGGGCCCCTGATACCAATTTAACATTTGGAATCCTTCCCTGGGAATTTTGACCTTGGGACCAGAAAGGAACGGGTTTTGGTCCGCCTCTGGTGATAAATCTGTGTTGTGTGAGCCTGGAAGATCTGTCACTACTCAGAGATTTGAGGATCAGTGAGAGGAAACTAGTTAGTCAGGTTCTGGTTTCCACTGATTCTGAGGGCTTGGCCATCCCCTCGCCCAAGTCAAAATGTGAACAATATTCACCACCCTCTTTTTTAACCACCCCTTTTTAAAACTAAGGTTGTCTGGGTTGAATTTTCATCATCTTTAGGAGAAAAAGCCTTAACTTTCCAGAAGAGACATGCGTGTTCTTTATCATTCAAATTTTAAGCACAATTCTTGAAAAGACTCTGGCTGTTTTGTTAGTATTAAGTCCATATTTCTTCCATGTATAAAACAACAACAAAGATAGATTGCCTTTACTTGGTGGCAGCTTCAGGAACTCTGCATTCTCATGGAGACAGGCTTTGGGGATTGCTTCAGAGAAGCATGGACGTATTTCCATCGCTCGTGGAGTGAGTGAAATTGCTGCTCAGGATGCTCCCCTGCCTGCTCTTTTGTGACTCTGACCTGGAGAAACTGACATGGACAGAGCGACCGCACAGGACTGCCGCACACTTCCGGTACAGGTGGTAAAGGTATCTTCTGAACCTCTCTCCGGCAAATGCGTAGATGAGGGGGTTGAGGCAACAGTGGCTAAAGGCCAAAGTCTCAGTCACATTGAGGGCCAACTTCAGATTCCTCTTCGAGTCACAGCCGGGGAAGAAGTCATAGAGTTTGAGAGTCTCCAGGAAAATCATAACATTGTAGGGTGTCCAGAAGAGGAAGAACACGATGACCACCAGTAAGATGAGTTTGATGGCTCTAGATCTCTTGTGGTTCTTGCAGGAAAACAGTGTCTGGATGATTCTGAAGTAGCAGAAACTCATGATGAGCAGGGGCAGCAGGAAGCCAAGGATATTTGCTTCCACATTGCGAAGCACAGGCCAGATTTCCTGAAGGACCTCGGGGTAGTCACCCAGGCATTCTTTTTCTTTCTGCTTCGTGAACATGAACTGGGGCGCTGACACCAGGATGGCTGCTGCCCAGACGCCGAGGCTGACGGTGACGCCGTGCTGCACGGTTCGGTTGTTCATGGAGTTGGCCGCCGAGACGATGGCCAGGTACCTGTCAATGCTGATAATGGTGATGAAGAATATACCCCCAAAGAAGCCGATGAAGAAGAGGGCGGTCGTGAGTTTGCACACCGCATGGTGGAGGCCTTCCTCGTTGATCAAATAGTGAGTCCAGAAGGGCAGTGTGGCCACGAAGAGCAGGTCAGACAGGGCCAGGTTCAGGAGGTAAATGTCGGTGATGCTCTTGGCCTTCTGGCTCCTGGTGAGGGCGAGCACTACCAACAGATTTCCCACAAGGCCAAAGGCAAAGACGAGGGAATAAAATATGGACAAGAAGGTGGTCCCAAAGGCTACGATGTCCTCTATTTTACAGGCTTCCGCAGACTCATCATACTCAAAGTGCTCTGTGTTGGATTCAGGGTAGGAGGTGGGCATGGTGCGGGCCTGGATCAAAAGGGAAAACAAAAGGCAGTGTTAGTCCTCCAACGGACAAATGTGCAGTTCTGTCTGGTCCCGGACAGAGGCAGGAAGGAAGAGACGAGCGCTGGTTGGGCAGCTACTACCTTTTCTACCCACACATGCACCATCTCGTTAATCCCCACAGCATTCTTGGGGCTGCCACGGATGCCTCGGGCTGAGGAGGCAGTCAGATCCCTGAGAGGTTTGGAGAGTGGCTCAGCCAGCCTTTGGAGCTAGTCTTTTTGGAGCATGAGTGAGGACTCGACTCTTTTAAGTCTCTCCAAAAGGTATCTAGCTTGACCAGTGTGTGGAGGTTGCAGGGAGAGCCATGGGCAGAAAGTAATGACAGCGGGGAGGGGTTCCTCCAGTGCACAATTCCCCGAAATAATCCTTTATCCTCTTCTCTTCCACCTTGTCCACCCTTACACCCTTCTTTCTCCTCCACAGCCTTAGGGGAAGAGAAAGCATTGTTCTGAACTAGGGCTCTGCAGTTACAGAAGGGCCAACCGACCTGGACTCCAGTGGTTGATTCACCTGGACGTGAGCAGCCCTGGAAAAGGAGACATTTCTCACAGATTGGGCAATAATAAAACCCATCCCATTCCCAGCCAGAGTGCTTTGGACATTTATTCCAGAGGTGACCGGTGAGGCAGCCCTTGCATGCACAGGCCCTTCTGAGTTATCACTGCCTCCTTCCTCATCAAAACTGAAAGCAAAGCTCATGGTTCTTTACCAAGGGAGTTTCCACAGCCCACCACACCCTGTTCATGACTGGTCAGGAAGCATCTTTGTCAAGACCTGGGCCCACCCAGCCAGGACACTGTGCCTCCCTGCCCAGCCTCTTCTGCATTGAACTGGGCTAAGGCGGACTAGCTTGCCCACCTCAGGCTGTACGGAGGCTCTCAACTCCTTGCAAACTGTATGGTTTCTTTGCTTCAGGCTGTGAGGACCCTTTTTATGGAGCAGACCCTCAGGCTGTGACCTTAATCAGTAATGTCTAAGTCGATCAGTACAAAGTGGCTGCCATGTAGCTGGTTTTTGAGCTCTACAAGCCTCGGTTTTGTATGTCTCAAGGGGAGACAGCAATTACTACTTAGTGTGAGTAGCTTGCTGTAGACCATCATCTTGCCAGCGGTGCTGCTGTGTGCAAAAATAGTCAAGACCTTGGAGGCCGAGTGAAGGACCCTAGATTAATGAATGCTAATTCCACTTCCTGTTGGGTGAGGAAGCCCTGTGGGTCTCTGGACTGTCCAAGCTGCCTGTAGACTCACTTGTTTCATCCCCACTCTGGGCATCCTGGACATTTTGGTATTTAAAGGTTGGTCTAATTTTCCCTTGGGGGAGAGGCACTTACTTTTCAGTTTATTTTGGAGGGGGTGGAGAGTGAACCACACCTCATGAAGCTTTTACTAAACTAGTCTCACTGTTAAACATTCCACACGCATTTTAGCCTATTTATTCTTCTCTGCAATTCTGAAAGTGAAGTCGTGTATGTAATTTACTGCTGCTGGATGACTTCAGGGATGTCTGTGAGGCAAAAAAGATGAAGGTTGGACACAGTGTAGAGAAGACAGGGGTAGTTAGAAATAAGCAACTGAGTGCCCGGCTGAAAACCAAGGGAGTCCCAGATTCAGCCCCAACACTGGGTATCCCAGCTCAGGGATGCCACACATCCTGGGACCCTTCTCTAATTTGCTCCAAGATTTTGAGTATGGGGTTGGTCCTGGTTGGAGGAGCTCGACACCCAAGCAGCCAACATGTCTGAAACGCCCATCCATGGCACAGGGTTCTGCATGGCCCTGCTCCCGGATTGATCACTCCATCCCAGGCTCAGCATGAAGTGTTGTCCCAGTGGGGGAAATACTTGTAGATCAACTTTGATTAAGGCAGAATCAGGGAAGCGGGCCAATAAATTCCCTTGCAGATGGGGTGCCTGCATATCTCATGATCTTACCTAACTGGTGAGCACAGTATTTACTGAGAGCCAGTGGCTGGTCCTGGGTATCAGTCTGGATTAGGACTGCTCCCCGACAACCATTGAGGACAGAACAACATCCAGCCACCCTCTTCCTGGCTCCCTGGTGGCTCAGAGTCCCTAATGAAGACCCTGCCCTGTAATGTCCCAGCTCCCACAGGTGTCCCTCTCAGTGATGCCACAGAGCTAGGTTCATACTACGTGATCACCTCACACACCATGGCCCCTGCCACTTCTACCATGCTCCAGAGGGAGGAGTGGGAAGGACGTCGACAGCACCTATTGCACCTCCGAGCCTCACGGGGGGTGGGGCATGGTGATGTTAAGCACCTTGTCTCCTGCACATGTGGAAGCGGGGAGCGGGGCTAGAGCTGAGTTCCCCACCGTCCTCACCACGCTCCTCCCTCCCTCTCCAAAGGTGAAGGACAGGGTTGTGGGGGGAAGAGGTAGGAACACAATGGCTACCAAGTGAAACAGAGGCCAAAATCAAGGGGTGAAAAGCCATCCAAGCTACCCACTATGTAGCCCAGGCTGGTCTTGAACTCACAGTGATCCTCCTGCCTCAACCGCCCGAGTGCCGGGATTACAGGTGTGCGCCACCATGCCCAGCATTATCTCTGCTTTCTGGTCAAATAGATGCACTCAGAAGGTAAGGAACTGCTCAAGGCCACAGCTGATCAGTGGCAGGGCTGCAGATTGTGCAACGTATCCAGCTCCACCCCTTGTGCTTTCTTCATCTTTGCGTGGTGGCCCTCCCTGCCCACCTCTAGAAAGACTAGGAGACCCTCAGAACCAAGTTCTCCTCAGCTCTGTAGGCCAGTGCTCAACAGAGGGAGAGGCCTGGCTCAGAACAAATGAGGATATTTGTGAATATCTGTGGAAGAGTACATATTGGACCCTAGACCTTCACCCCAAACGGCTTTGGGCACAGTGATGATGGCACCTGTTACCCCTGGGGAGCTTACGGGGAACACAGATATCCTTTGCAGTCATAAGCCAAGGGGTCCTTAAACTGAGAGCTCCGAAGGGGCTTGGTATGTTGAAGGAATGAATGAATGAAAGGCCTAGAAGAGAAAGAAAAGAGATGCATCAGCTTCAAGAGAGAAGCACAGGCCACCCCTGACCCACAGGCAGAAATCAGTGTGACCGACCCCATCCGTGCTATTGGACCTTATCTGATTGTCGAACACTTCTGAGAACAATTTCAGCCCTATGACCTAGGCAAGTGTTGAAAAATAGCCCTGCCAGGCTGCATGAGTCATGGGTGATGCATGGTTTTATCTCCCTGGAAAAAGACTGCAGGTCTTTGTGCTTGGCGAGGGACAGCCCCAGATCTTCAAGAACCCTGTCTACACCAGGAAACTTGACATCATGGCAGGTCCTCCCCTTCGCCAAGTTTCCACTGAACTCTGTAGCTTTACCGAGGTGCCCTTTCAGGAAGCATAGGCCTGAGCTGAGTAGATTTTTTATCTGCATGTGTTTGGAGATGTTCAGGTACTGGAGGTAAGCCAAGAGCTCGGAAGCAGATGCCACTGTGTCCAGACCTCGACAATGCCTTCCTTTTGTTCCTGGAAACCAAGTGTAAGAATTCAACAAGACAAACACTTGCAGCATCTTCTTAGCTAGGTTCTGAATCCTCAAGGGTTGCAAAAGCACACACCAGGGTGCACCACTACAGCCGAGGCTGCTCCTTGCATCTCAGGGCAGTAGTCGGCAAGAAGCCAAGTCCCCACAGGGCTGTTTTCAGCTCTCTGTGCCCTCCAGTTGATTGAGCCCAAGGTTAACTAACTGGTGCAGAGATGAGGGAATCTGAGCTAAGCCTAGAGGCATAGCTTGATACCCAAGTGGAGCTCACTTCTGTGTGACCTGCTTTATAAAACTCCTGCTCGCCTGCACTGCCCACCCTGGTCTATTTCCTCTGGCCACTTCCCTTTCTCATGCCTGCTCACTTATTTTTAACTGTTTTCCATGAGTGGGTCGGCAGCATCCTTACCCATGTTTTCCAATCAGCTTCTCTTTTCTATACTTCCTCCTCTTTCAAGAGGCCGATCCATTTTCTCCTTCTACCTGACACCCTTTTTATGTCACTCTCCCCTTCTTTTGGCTTCACACCCTGCTCACCGTTTTCCAAACCTAATGTATCATCTCATCTCTTTATTATTTTCCTTGGTCCTTGTTTCTTTTACGTAAACCCTTGAGTGAAGTTTGAGTTTGGGGCCCAGTCTAGTGCCGAGGGACTTGTAAGGCGGCTTCTCCTTCTCCTTCTCCTTTTCAGTCCTCCTCATTCTCCTCCCCATTCTTCTCCCCCTCCCCCTTCCTCTTCTTCTTTCCTTGAAACAAATTAAACTAGAAAATTGCTTGAGCTCTGATCCAAACTTTCTTCCTTGGGGTGTCCTGGTTCTACTCGTGTTCCAAAATCAGAAGTTGCCCTCAGAAGGCCCCAGTTTAACCATGGGTCTTTTTTTTTTTTTTTCCTTCAGGGCTAGAGATCAGACCCAGGGCCTTGCACATGTTGGGAAGTTTTCTCTCCCGAGCTACACCCCCAACCCCAGAAAGGCCCAGTTTAGAAGGAGCAGAGGCTGCCAGCCAGTATGCCTGCTAAGCTTATGTTCCATGCAGCGCCACTGAACTCTCTCCACAGACCCACAAGAGAAATGCCAAGCAGAGGCTCATAGGGATTGGGCTAATGTGTCCAGGGAGAGAGAACAGACTGGATTTGGAGCCCGGATCCACCTCTGCACAAAGCTGTCTTCCTTGCACTGTGCAGACACCCTGCCCGGAGGGGACGTCTGCAGAACTCCACAGCCCACTTCCCTCAGACTAGGACGGAGAAATAGGAGGCACAGGCCCTCTGAAAAGAAGCTGGTCTGTGATGCAACCCTGAAGTGGTTGAGTTTCTCCCCTCCAGAGTCAAAACCCAGCAAGTGGAGCTTCAAGGAATAGTGAGTAGAAAACAGGGAGGGAAGGATACCATTTGTCCTCCTGGGTACCACTACATGGTCCTCACTGCCAGGCTCACGGAATTTGCAGTGATTAACAAAAAGGGTGTGTGTGTGTGGGGACGCGACAATTTTCTCTAGAGACAAAAAGACTAGAGGCTGGAGGGTTAGCTTATTTCCTGCCTTCCCATGTTACAGTGCTTTTAAAGGCCACACAGTTCCCGGGGGCCCACACATTCCATTCACCAATGTCCGACAGGCTCTGCCCTGGCCCTGCCCCGTTTCCGTGGCATGTGAGATGAAAGCATGAGCCCCATCACCCGCGAGGGCTTTGCCAGCTCGGACGAGCTCAAGTCCTCCACAAGAGTCGAACACAAGGAAGAGGTCTGAAGGACAAGTACGAGACTGAGGTTAGGGGCTCGCGAAAATGTGGTTTTCTGTCAACAGAATGGCGGCTGAGTAGCTTCCCAGCAAGCAGGGCACTCCTGGGTGGCACCTATGAATGTTCAGATGAGATTCTGTTTGGAGACAGAGCGTATCTGTTGGTGTCTAGCCCTGAAGAGTCTGGAGTTTACTCAGCCCTGGAGAGGGATGTTTTCAGCCTACTGCCATGCCCACAGCGCCAGGTGCTGGGGAAGCCAAGTTTTACCAGATCCTGATGGTTTCCTCACCTAGAATGACAGTTATTTTTATGACACATTCCTTTCCAGAGGCCGGTACATTTTCTCCTTCTACCTGACACCCTTTTTATGTCACTTTCCCCTTCTTTTGGCTTCACACCCTGCTCACCGTTTTCCAAACCTAAAGTATCATCTCATCTCTTTATTATTTTCCTTGGTCCTTGTTTCTTTTACGTAAACCTTTGAATGAAATTTGAGTTTGAGCCCCTAACCTCAGGATGCAGGGAGAGCTAGGACTAAAGGCAGGAGAGGCCTTGAATTCCATGCCTAGGGGCTGCTAGGAAAAATTTCATACCTTGCACTGAGTATGCTGTAATAATGAGCTCACCTAAACCAGCATAGCATTACCCTCCCCCCAGGCTTTATATGAGGCAAATGCATGCATCCATGCTACAAAACAAGAACAGGAGGAAACCATACTCAAGGCTCAGACTCCGTGGGGCTAGTGAGTTGCCCCTTTCCAAAACCTGCCATGATCTGGGGTTTGACACTCTCCTCCCTTTTCCTCTGTAAAGTACTTTATGGTATTTATTATTTCTGACCAAGTAAACCATAAATTTTTTTAAAGGAAACACTCTACCACTTTAAAAAAATAATTGGGGAGATTAACTTAATTATTTTTCCCCATTAAGTTTATTGGTACATTTAAAGCAAACAATGCACTTACATTTATCACTGGGATCTTGTGCCTTTACATGACATCTTGGTTCTTGTTTTTTCCCCATATCATCGCCCTCCCTTCACTCTCCCATATTTACAAAGACTTTATTTCCATTTTTTTCTTTTTTCACATTTTTTCTTTTCCCTTATTTCCTTTCCCCTCCCCTTTAGCCATTTTCTTCCTATTTCACACTCTCAATTATGCCATTTGAACCTTATTTAAACTTTTAGGTTTATACACCAGAGAAACTATTCGGTATTTACTCAAGTGTGTCCTATTTATTTCACTTAAGAGTATGGCATCAATGTGCATCTATTTAGCTATCTGTTTCTAGTTTATCATTCTTTTTTTTCTTTTTATTGAGTTTATTGGTACAATCTAGGTATACAATACAGTTACATTCATTATTGGGATCCTATACGTTTACATGATAGGTTTTGATTCTCATTTTTTCCCCTTGTCCTTGCCCTCCCTTCATCCCCTCCTCCCCTCCCCATTTACAAACACTTTATTTCCATTTTTTCATTTTCTCGTGTTTTTTTCCTCTCCCTTATTACCCTTCCCACTTTCCCTACACCTTTAGCCCTTTACTTCCTATTTCACATTATTAATTATCTCATTAGGATCTTGTGCACTATTATAGTTTTTCACACCAGAGAAACTATTCAGTATTTCAGTTAAAGAAATCTCTGTAAAGCCAGGCGTGGTGGCTCACACCTGTAATCCCAGCACTCGGGAGGCTGAGGCAGGAGGATTGCTGTGAGTTCGAGACCAGCCTGGGCTCCATAGTGAATTCCAGGTCAGTCTCAACTACATAGTGAGACCCTGTCTCAAAAAACCAAAAACCAAAAAACAAACAAACAAACAAGGAAATCTCTGTATGAACATTAAAAATAGGGAATCCTAAAATAAAACTAAAAAGGAAAGTAAAAGAGAAAAGGCAATGATGTAAAATTAAAATAATCCTTAATTCTGAAGATGAAAATGGTCCCTGAAAATATTTAAATTGTTTCTTGCTATTGTAGTCTTATATTATTCTTTTTTTCATTATTTAGAAAATACTTTATTAGTTTCTGTAATCAAACCCAGGTAGATATGACCTTACATATTTAATACAGTGCATTACCTCTGTACAAATGGAAAAAAAATTAACATTTCTAGACCAATATGGCTATTAATTTCTGTACAATGCCAGCTCAACACAGCAAATTGAAATGACTTTTTCCTTTTATTTATTTATTTATATTAAAAAGACCAATAATAGCAGTATGTTATGCATCAATAGCAGCAACAGCTTCTAGTTTTTCATTCTTTATGGCTGAGTGGTACTCCATTGTATAGAAAAACCACATCTTCTTTATCCAGTCTCCAGTTGATGGGCATTTGGGTTGTTTCCAAGTTTTAGCTATTATGAACTGTGCCTCTATAAACATGGGGGCACATATATCACTGTGGTATGATTTTTTAAATTCTTTGGAAAGATACCCAGCAGAAAGCTGGGTCAAATGGAAAATGACCATACTTCCAAAACTTCTATACAGATTCAGTGCAATCCCAATTGAAATCCCAGCAGTATATTTCACATAACTTGAGAAAACAATCCAAAAATTCATTTAGAACCAGAAGAGACCCAGAATAGCAAAAACCATTCTAGGCAACAGAGATACGGCAGAGGTTATCACAATCCCCAACTTGAAACTATGCTACAAAGCCACTGTGATAAAAACAGCATGGTACTGGCAAAGAAACAGACCCGAGGATCAATGGAATAGATTAGAACATACAGAAACAACACCAGACAGACTCATATTTGACAAAGGAGCCAACCATCCTCACTGGAGAAAAGACAGCCTCTTTAATAAATGGTGTTGGAAAAACTGGATTTCAACTTGCCAAAGATTAAAACTAGATCCCTATCTTTCGCCATGCACTAAACTAAAATCCTAGTGGATTAAAGATCTAACTATTAAAACAGAAACACTAAACTTACTTGAAAGTAAATTAGGTAGAACTCTCAAAGACATTGGCATCAGAGAAGACTTTATGAACAAATCCTCAGCAGCACGAGAACTTGCACAAAGAATCAACAACTGGGATCTCATTGTATTAAAAAGTTTTTGCAGTGCAAGAGAAATCTGCAACAGAGCTAAGAGACAACCTACAAAAAATTGTGAAAAAATTTTTATCAGCTGTTCCTCAGACAGAGGACTACTATCTAGATATACAAAGAACTCAAAAAAATCAGACCCCCCAAATATAAAGACCTGATTAAAAAATTGGCTCCTGAAATGAACAGACATTTCTCAGACAAAGAAGTAAAAGCAGCAAATAAATATATGAAAAATGTTCAACATCGCTGGTCATTTGAGAGATGCAGATGAAAACAACACTGAGATTCCTCCTCACCCCAGAAAGAATGGCTGCTATCAAGGAATCAACCAATAAGAAATGCTGGTGGGGCTGTGGGGAGAAAGGAACCCTTCTCCATTGTTGGTGGGAGTGCAGACTGGTGCAACCACTGTGGAAATCAATATGGAGATACCTCAAAGAACTTGGTAATTATTAATTAAACCAATATTTATTGGCACCTTTACCATATGCTAGTGAAGGGAAAATAAATATTAAACCTAAGAGTCTCAGTTGTTCTTGTTGAAAATAAGACATATTGTTCACTCCCTTTTTTTTTTTTTTTTTTTTT